TCGCAAACTTCTAAGATACGTTCTTTAGCCGCTTTATCAGATATCCAATCGATTTCATCCCTCACAATGTCCTCCAAGTAAGTTTCTACAGAGTCCTGATTTACTTTCACGATTTGCTTGAACATTTCATCGAATTCACGTCGTCGATTACGTTCCGCTTGTCGCCTGCCAGCTTCAGCGGCCTCTCTCATACATCTTTCTCTTTCGGCAAGCAAGGCAAAAGCGTGAGCTCTACGTTCGTCCTCTAATCTCACTAACTCCTGCAGATAACAAGAGAGAGAGATAATCGAACGAACTGTTTCGATAAAAGATTACAAAAACTTACCTTACTGAGAAAATCTAACGTCCCACAGACTGTCTTCCCCTCTAAGGAATCGAGAATCTCACACAAACGATCTTCCTGTACCGATTGATCGTTCTGTAGTTGCCGCAAATTTATCATGTGTGTCTTTTCATCATCATGATCTTCCTGCTCGGACGCTTGAGTCGATTCCAATTCTTCGATCAGCTCTCTGCATCTATCGCGTCCTTTGTACATCTGTAAAATATATGAAATTGTATCTTTCCTCTATTTCTACTGCGATAAAAACATAACTTTATAGTATCTTGCTCTGTATATCTATTTTAAAATGCACGACGAATGATCTGTACTTTACCATACACTGTATCGCTCTGCCTTTAACAAGCTTCTGAATAAACGTAGCAGACTCTTCCCGTTGTTTCTGCTTATTGTCCCATGTGCCCGATCTACGCGGTGTGACGGGCAAAGCCGGCAGTTCGTGATTACGCCTCACTAATCTTGGACTCTCATCCACGGATTTGACTTTCATTCGAATGGCCTTCAGGTCGGAGTGTAGTTGCTTCAGTTTTTCCTCCGTCCATCTGGTTTCTCGTACACAGATGTCTATCGGTTTGGGCCCATGTTTAATCGCTTTCGGTTCCTCGATAGTTGGTAACCAACTGAGTGTTGCGTCTTCTTCTTGTTCTAATTGTAATTAACAATTGCGATGAATTGAGTAGCGGCGGTTGATGCTAATTACTATCGAATATACTCACGCTCAATGTGGCTTTCGCTTAAGAACCGCTTCTGCAAGATTTCGTGCCGCCTTTGGGGATGTTCGCCGAAACGCATTTGCGGTGCGTACAGGTCAGATTTCGGGTCGATATGCCGTTCAATTATGTCGGGTTTACGAGGTTGCTGCTCGTCGCGACGTTTCCTACGTAATTTTCGCAAATCTCGTTTAAGATTATGCCTGATAGTCTTAATTTGGTTGTCCCGACATTTGCTCAGTTTGTTCTCCAGCCTGCTGAAACGACCCTGCATTTTTTTCTCGTATTCCGACTCACGACTCTGCAGGAGGTCGCTCATCAGATCCAGACGTAAATCCATTATGAGTTGAATCTCCTAAAATTATTACATAGTTAAGGAAAGGAAGAAACATAGGTGTTACGTGTAGGTATTATGTAAACGATTGAGATTTTTATAAAATTATTATCTTAGTGGAAAAATGTCTCAGAATTGTTCATATTATTAATCAGAATTTCTATAAAAATTTCAAGACTTTCTCAGAATGCTAAGAATATTTTAGATTTTTTTTATACGAATTGGAACGTTTTTCAGAAAAACTCTGACAAAACAATAATAAAATATTTCAGATTTTTCCCGGCAACACATCTTTGCAAAAATTTAATAAATATGAGAAAATCTGGCTCAATTTAGCAGAATTTTTCATGTACATATACGGATACTGAAATATTCCGAAAATCCTCATCCAATTATTTCTGAAAATATCTGAGAAATTTTATGTATTTTTTCCAGAATTTTTTATAAGTTTAAATTCTTAGGAAAATTCTGAGAAAATATGAGAAATTTTTTCACCAGGGTACATAATTGAAGAAAGAAGAAATGTGGATATTGTTAGGCAAGATGATTGAGATTCTTAATTCCTTGCTGAGATTCCGTTTTGAAACTCACCGACTCTCGAAATGCCCATTCGTCTATCTCCAAGGTCGTTATTATTGAATCTCGCATCTTTATGTTGGCCGGCGTATCCATCGGCGGTAATACGGCTTCCCAAGCTTTCTTCATCCGCATCCTGTTGATAAGGTGCACCTCATGGACGCCTGCGGGTAGTCCATGCTCCCAAGTTAGATGAGCTAACGCCAGCACTTCAGGATTGTGACCTAAATGAAAATTAGGATATCTCCACTAGAATTTTGCATCTCCAGTTTTCTGTCTTCCTCGTGTGTTTTCTTTTTCTTTGCCACTATTCCGATTTCATAATTGATTTATTCTACGAATATGATACTGTAATATAATTGCGTTGTCACCTGGAACAATTTTACATGGTGGCTCCCAAGGTTCGGTTTGCGCCTCGCTCTCTCTGTAATCCGTCTGGGTTTCTGCATTTTTGTAGGGCTCTGATTTAGGGAGTGCGGTGTAACATCGTCTTTGTACAGTTTGCAGAATTCCGCTTAGAGCCTTGCGCTCCAAACAGCGTGGGATGTCCGCGGTTTGTACTTTCGGTATGGTAGTAAAAGGTACCATCGATCTTCGAAAATGCCTGTACGTATCTCCGCCAATAATTTCGATCGTTTTACCTTCTACAGCCATTCTTCTGTAAATCCAAGAGCTTAAAGTTTCTTAACTGAATTAACGTCTCTGTATATATAGAAAAATATGTTGAATTGCAGAACTTGAGGACTTGATGAGAATAAGAAAACATTCTTCTTGGAAAAAAAAGTGTATTGTGTGTGTATGAGCAAAGACTTACCCAAGATTTAAAGAATAACTGCACGCACATAACTTATATCTTTTTAAAAGATCATCCTTATAATCTTGAAATTTCTCGTTATTTCCTATTTCAGGATGTTCAAATGTTCTCTGGAAGAAATATAAAATATTAATAAATTTAGAAAGAACCATGTCATCTATATTGTAATCTTAAGTATACTCTATTAATTAATGAACACTTACAAACAGATTAGCTTTCTGAGCCTTGGGCAATCTGAAATAATTGTTGCTGCTGCATACAGTGCAAGTATAGCTCGCTAATGCATCATCAAAAAATTATTAATTACTGCCTAACCGTTAAACTTATGTGACATATATATCTTACGACGTTTCACGTTTCCTTTCGCCATAATTTGCATTGCACTTAATTGCACAGCTTATTATATACTGTATTTAAAACGTTCAACTTGGTCCCATTCTTGCAAAAGCCATAAGTATCTGTCGCACATAAGTAAACTCATAAACCGTTTAATAATCCAGTATTGATCAAACAGCATACCATAGCAGCGAAAATGTACAGGACGAGGAAGAATAAACGTCAGCAATGATCAATAATGTATATATTTTATATTCTTAGAATACTCATGTTACACTTAACAGTGATTAAATGTTTACATATCAATATGTAGTAACATATTATATATATATGTATATATGATTAGCATTTTAATTCATATATAGATAGCGGGATCGTTACATTTAACTTATTACTGATATAACGTATACTTTCAACGTTAATTATATTAACATTTTTATGCGATCGTAAGTTATAAATTTTAATATAATTTGTATATATAAAGAGTTATTGAAATCACCTTTGGCACATACAGTTACTTCTTCATTCGTAACTGCATTCTGAAAAAAACTTAATTATTCATAAATGATCAACAGATATGTGATTATAGAAATTCTCTTCAAAATTAAACGTTAAAGGTTTTAATTGCGAGAGCAACTGTATTCTTATATGTACAAATACGCATATATTTGCATCCTTTTTATTTCGCGAAGAAGACTGCATATAAATATTAATATAAATTGCTTTTATATAACAATTGATATTAGAATTATGATTGTTACTGTATACTTTTGCAAATAGTGCACGGGACTATTTGATAATTCTTTAATTCTGTTAATCTGTTAACGAATCCATTAAAGACCGTTACAATAAAAGTTTCCTCAATAATTTATATAATTCGACGAAAACCTTGCAGTTTCTTCAGACATTTAATCTACGCAATGGCTTAAAATAGCCGTTTCCAAAAGAGCCTAGATATTCTGGCCAGCTCTGACGTGATGAAATATTTCTGCACGTTTGATTAGGTAACATATCCTCCGGACATACGCATTCTAACTTCATCCTGTATATTGTCATTTGGCCAAGCGCGATTTTGGTATTTTCCCTATCCTTCGACTCTTGATACAATCTGTAATTAATGCCCCGCTCGGCTAAACATTCGCTGATGATGTCGTCGTCCTTCTTATACTCAAATTTATTATCTCTCTCTAACAACGCTTTCTTTTTACGAATGCACTGATCCGCTTGCGACAAAATCAGAGACACTTCGGACGACGGTAGCCAGAATGTAGAGAACACTAAATCCACCGAAGTCCTTCCCTTGGATTCGGTAATGGATGGCAACAGAATACCAGTTGGCGCCTGCTTCTGAATCCCATTGATACCGCTCGACCGAGAATTGTCGGTTCCAGAGTCTCGTTTCGTTTTTCGTTTTTGTCTTATTTTAAAATCTTTATCACTTACCGACGACAATATTCGCAATTGCTTTCTGTTAATCTTGCC